CTTAAACGCGGAGACATCTATAGCTATTCTGCATGTGACTAACAGTAGGCTTTTCAGATTGTTTAAGAGGTCGATAGGAGAGCTCTCTGGGTAATTGCTTTAACGAGTGGGCTGGCAAGGCGTATTTGATGCCTTCAGAAAGACGGCACTGTGCGCACGGGTGGGTTCATTTAATGTTTCTTCATATGCCTGAGTTAATTAAGGCGCCTACCGTCAAGGAGCGGTGGTTCAGCGTTCTCCGGTTTATACTTATTGGACGGGCAGTTGTTTTATTCCCTCGGTCAGATAAGGAACTTTACCTCGCCTTTGCCCTTTAAGGATATTATTGCGTCAGTTATGCAATTATACAAATGAAAAATGTGATTATAAAAGCAAGAAGCAAATAGTGCTTTGTTAATGTCTAAAAATGAGTAAAAACTGCAAAGCATGTAGTTAAATAAACTGCGACGAAAAGGCACCACACCAAATTATAAGAGTCTAATCAAATGAGTATCTGGAGAAAACACTTACTCTTCAATAGATAATGGGCCACGCTCAAGGAATTCCTGCTACGTTTGAAGAAAAGGTTAACTCTGTGGGGGACAAACCTCTCTTTCTTCGGAGTACGTTAATGTTTCGTCATTTCCACCTCCAACTTCCCCATAATTGGGGGCATCAGGCATATCAAGCTGAAAAACACCTGCATTTGCCATTGCACATTTAAAGCAATGTGACAGTCGTTAAAACGGGCTAGGACAATAATAACGTATTTAAACAATATATTCGGGATTTTGGTTCAGTCAAACAATCGTATTCTGGTCATGACAGAGCGAAGATCTCATAATAAGTCAAACCTTCATGAATAAAGGCTAAGCATGTACCTGATGTCTTATTCTTTATTTCAGTAAACCCTAAAGCTATCCGGATTGAATAAACTTGATCTATCGCATGGAACTATATGTGGCAAAGCGCGAAGTTGCCTTTTTACATCAGCTATACTTAGACGCCAAGATAAGCTCGCCACAGCTGTTTTTCTCCGCAATATTTGGCCTTTGCTTTGATCAAGTAATAATTCTCAAGTTCTCTACTTCACAAGATCGGCAGATCAGAGACATTCCTTATTTGTCGGTGAGGAAAGCAAGCAGATATTTGTGCCTATCCGTGTGCAAAATTGCCATTTTTGAGTCTTTATTGGGCTTCTCGATCAGGGCATTGTTGAGTGCGGAGAGGGAACGGTCAAAGCTGGAGATTCTTCCCCAAAGGCAAATCTATATATTCCTGAAAATAACAACTCGACTTGCACCGGGACTCAGAGTCCAGTACAGTGACCTGTGTACCTTCTTGTCATACCAGGCTGCACCCGTCAAATCATTGCACGTATTTTCACAGTTTCTTGCCATCGGCTGTAGTTTGGTGAGATAGAGTTAGTGTGGTAGTCGTTGTGTAGGTCTGTCCCATGGTAAACTATATCATTTGCAAGGCAACGTTACTGTGTCTACTGCATGACTAAATTAGTGGATGGTACCAGTAGCGCCCGTCGAACTACTCGTTGTTTTTGGCTTTTCGGGTGCGCTTTTTTATTTAAAAAAATTTTACCTTTAGCTTAAGGAGTAAATTTCAGGCTAATTTACTTATATTTTTTATTGTGTGCTTTATTTTGTTTGCTTCAAATAATGGGTTTGTCCTGTGTTTCGCGCTTGGCATGTTTTTAGTTTGTTGGCAATGTTCCTATTCCGCTGATTACTCACCTCACAGAAAGGCCGCGAGTCCAAATTCATCTCTAGGGGCCAATCGAGTTCTGCTGGTAGCTCACAATCCGTTGATTCCATCGCCAGCAGTATTACGGAATTCTTGTATGGCCCTTGTGTGGTACAAACGATACGAGGATTTGTTCTCTGTCGATCTGGCTGCCCAGGAATACGCATGGAACGTACGACTCCTCCTTCGCAAACAATGTCCTGCTGAGCATAAACGCTACGCCAACTTCATTTTGCCCAAGAATCCAAGGAACATTTCCTTCGCGGACACGCTGAAGGCCTTGTCGCAGATTTTCTGTGAGCAGTATTCACTTTTAAACGCCCGATTCCAGTGCCTCCGGCTGTGCAAACGAGAATCCGACGATTTCGTTACGTACGCCGGCATTGTGAATCGCGAGTGTAGGCGTTTTCAACTCGGTTCTTTCACAGAAGACCAGTTTAAATGCCTTATCTTTATCTGCGGCCTCCACTCCCCTAAGGATGCCGACATCCGGACATGTCTTCTGTCCCACGTGCAACAGAGCAATTCAGTTACCCTCCAAGAACTGGATGCCGAATGTCAATCACTTCTAAATCTCAAACATGATTAGGCCATGGTCTATGGCGCTTCTACTACGGGCTCAGTCAATGCGGTCGCAGCAGCTAAGCCACCGCCGGCTTTGTGGCCCAAGCAAGCCCCCGAGGCGAAATCCCCGCCCTCTCCTTGTCGGCACTGTGGCGCGTGACATTTCCATCGGGACTGCGCACTTCGGCAACATCACTGCCAGAAATGTAACCAGGTGCGGCACCGTGATGGGTTCTGCCAATCCTCAGCTCCTGTAGGTAAGCCTTCCCCTGCCAATTCCAATCAAAGCGCCGCTTTAACCCCAAAAGCAAGGCAATGACACAGACTCTCGGAAATTCTCTGATTCTGTCGGCCACATTCTAGGTTAACGCAGCTGATCGCCAGAAGTTCGTTTATCTACTTCTCAACGCCCACACCGTTCGCCTACGACTGGACACCACTTCAGATACCCCAAACATCTCTGAGACTCTCTGGCAGTCTCTTGGTGCCCCCACAGTCCAGCAGAATTCTCAGTGCGCCATAAGTGCGTGAGATGGCCTTGTCCAGTTAATGGGGCAACTGCAATGCTGTATTTCCTTCCGCGACACTAACATCACTGCTGCATGCGTCATTACTAAGCCTAATCTCAACCTCCTTGGTCTCGACTGGATTGAACAAATTGGCTTGGTTGATTTGTGTTGTAACCTAGTGTGTTCCTGTGTCAACACCGGTTATGTTCCCCCAGTGCGTGTTAGGAAGAGAAGACAGAATAGGATAACTGATGGTACTTTACTGTCACTTGTACAAGTACATCACCTCTGGTCCGTGTGTCCAGCAGTAGCCTTCTGTGATCGGTCTCGCTTCGGCAGTAGTCTCGGATTGTCGCAGCGTGTCCAACAACAGAGTCCCCGTTCTGCTAGCGCCTCT